GCTGTCAATAAGGGAAACCTTTCATCCCTCATGACCATACCTCTGTTTCTTCCAATGTCACCTGGGCTTCAGTCTTCTCTTGTTCAACCAGTTTCTTGACCCTTTCCATTTCAATTAAGTTCCTGGTCCCTTCTCTAACTTGGCTTGTCAGACTAGAAATCTGTTCTGGAGAAATAAAGAATAGTGATAGTCTTAGTGATGTCTTAGACTTGTGATATCAAGCACATCATACTGTGCCTAGAGGCCTACTGGAACTGTATTCATGCAGCCATTGGTAACCTCAAAGCAGGGCTACGGTGAGCTCACTGAGACCTCTGTTAGAATTAGGAAAAGGCGTCTGTTCTTCCATGTACTTTTTGGCTATCTGCCAAAAAACATCTATCCCAGTTGGTGAAGATGATGGCTTCTTAGAGTTTTGTACCTCCGACAGTCTGTATACCTTTCCATGATGGTTCTGCTTATCCCAGCCATGCCAGATCCTACCTGGACATGTTCTCAGACACAATCCTGGAATTCCTCCGCTTCCAATGCAAGTGCCTAGATTTCAGCGTTAGGGATTCCCATGATCTCAACCACCCACACAACACTGGGACAGAAACTTAAGGAATAAGCAAGGTCACTATCTACCAGGAGCAATGACATAAACAGAAGACAGTGGCTTTAGTTCACAACTTGATGATTTTGGCTACCCTCCCATGAATATAAGCAACACACCCAGCAGGCAGAAAATCGTCTATAACCTGATATTGTCTTGGGGTTGACTCTTGTGTTTATGAAAGGAGTCTCTGGTAGCTGGGGGTGTATGGGTGGAACTATAAAATTCAGTCCAGAGGCAGTAGAAGAAGTCAGGAGCTAGCTCACTTGCTTCTCTGGTCCTGAGGTCCTAGACTGTAATTGTTTAAGAACTTTAAAAGGTTAAACAAACAAACACATTAGATGAGAATTCTCATGCAAATTATGATCCTTCTTGATAAACCCTCTCTAAAGAGAGATTCCCCACAGAAAACTCCAGTTTTTCTCAGCTCTAACTATAATCTACTGATTACAATTTAGAATCACCTGAAGAACTTTTGAAAAAAGCTCAAACTCCAAGCCCCAACCTAGACCAAGCATTGACTTTACTTGGAAAACTATTAGAAATGAAGATTTATAGGCTTCATCCCAGATACTGAATTAGAAACTCTGGTATGGTCTCCAACAATCTGTTTTAACAGGCCCTCCAGGTGACTTGGGCAGAGCTACAGTTTTCACACTCTTCTAGCAACTTTAGCTTTCCAGTCAGTGACCTGGTCATGGATTATGTAAGTCAACAGAGAAACCAAGTTTAATTTACACCTCCAATAATAATGAACTAGTTTCCTCTTGGCAGCCTCTTTGGAGGGCTGTTTGGCAATGTTTCAAAATTTTTAAATTTATTACTGTCACTCAGCAATTTCATTTCTAGGATTCTATTCTACTGAAATATTTTTACATGTGTACAATTATATGCATATGAATGCATAACAGAGGATTAATACTGAATAATCAGGACTAAAATTAATGAGACCTAAATAAGTATTGGTCATCCTTATTATGAAATACAATATAGCTTTTTAAAAGTATGAGTCAGGCCTCCACTGACAGGCATGCAAAAACTCACAAGGTACATATCAAGGCAGCATAGCTCAGTAGTTAAGTGTGTAGGGGGAGCCAAGATATCTGGGCTCAGATCTTAGATCTGCTACTTATCAAATGTGAATTCAGACAAAGTATTTAATCTTATGTGGCTCAATAGAATCTCCATTTTACAGATAAAATTAACACTAGGACTCCTCTGAGGGTTAAATAATGAATACTTGTATATAGAATAGTGCCCAGGATATAGCATAGGCTACAGAAATATTTGTTAAATTATAAAATATACTGATAAATGAAAAATAAAAGGTGTAAAATAATGTATAATTGGGTAAAAGACACATCTGAATATATACAGTACATGGAAAATATCAGTAAGGTTATTAATATCAAAAAAATCTATAACTGATAATGTGAAATAGGAAGAAAAGGTCTAAAGGAATAGGGGAAGTGGGAGAGGTAGGAGAAAGTAAAGAAGAGAAGACAAAAAATATGAGAAAAGGAAAAAATGGAAACAAAGTCTGTGTAAATAGGGAAGGGTGGAGGGGGTAGAGGGAGGGCAGGGGAATGGGGAAAAAGTAAGAACCAAGATACATCATGTAAAGGTACAAGATCCCAATGATGAATGTAACTATTATACATCTAAAATGTACCAGTAAACTTAATTTTAAAAAAAGAGTGGGTTTCTTTATACCTAACAGTAGAAAACTAGAATTACTTTTAGAATTAATTTAATACAACATCTCTAGCAAGAAAACACTAAAAAAAAAAGCACTAAAACTTCACAAGTGAAAACATGAATGGAAACATAAAAATGCCAAGGTTTCCTACTCACAAAGTCAGGGCTCTTCCCAAGCCCCTGGCTCTTGCTCAGGCTGTGAGCCCAGCTGAGAGTACCTTGGAGACTCTTGTTCTCCCTCCTCAGTGTCTCCTGGCCCTCAGTGCTCCCCTCATAGACATGCTTCAGCTTATGGACCTCAGTGCTGAGAACTCTGGCCTCCTTCTGAGAAGCACCCAGCAAGGCCTGGGCTCCTCATGCTTCTGGTTCCAATTGGCAAGGGTCTTGTCAGAGTGCTGCAGCTTCTGATCCAGTGCAGCTGCTGCTGAGCGGGCCTTCCCAAGGTCAGACAGGGTGTCCCCAACTTCAATCTGCGGCTGGTGCCTGGCCCTCTCCAGGGAGGCATTGCTGGCATTGGCCACCTGAGTGGCTTCAGCAGCCTCCTGCAACCTAATGGCCAGCTTCTTCCTGAGAAGGGCAGACCCAAAGGGTGAGTGAAGCACCATCCCTCTGAGAGCTCATCAGGTCTGTCCTGCATTAATGACAGTAGTTGGATACAAATAGGATGGCCTCTGTGGTTGTCTTAATAGTATCTGGCAAAGTCAGCTCACAATAGCTCCAGAAACCAGCTGTCTGCTCACCTCCAGCCTCTGGCTCCTGTGCACACACGGATTTTACTTTCCCCCAAGCTTTGCCAACCTGGACTTGGAACTCAGCATATCTTTGAATTCCTATAAATATTTTCTTATTCTAAAGCTTTAATAAGCAACGCAGACTATTGACAATTTCATACAAAATGGAAGGAATAAAGTTGTTCTAAACTTCCCATCAACAGCAAACTATTGAAAACTCCTTAGGCATGGTTAGTCTCTAAATACTTCTTTGGCTATATGTTGCTTCCAAGGAACATTTTCTTGTCCTCTCCTTGTGTGTTCATTCTCTCACCCCCTTTTTAAGTGGCTTATAAATATGACACAATTTTCTCCTCTCTTTGAATGTCTTCTCCACATCAGTTCATTTCCTTATATTTATATCCATCCCATCATGGTGCCTGCTTAACAAGTCCCATTGCTCTCAGGCAGTCTTGGCCCCTGTGCTCTTCCAGGACCCTCTACTATGAAGTGCCTTGTGAAAGGCTTCCTCGACCACCCTCACAATACAGCACTCTTAGGAATTCTTTTTTTTTTTTGTACAGGGGATCGAACTCGGGTCCTTGTGCTTGTGAGGCAAGTGGCAGAACCACTGAGCTAAATCCCCGGCCCCAACATTTTAGAGATTCAGTATAGTTTGGTTTTTTTTTGGTACCGGGGATGGAACTCCAGTCCTTGCACTTGCGCAGGAGGCAGCGAAACCACTGAGCTAAATCCCTGGCCCCCCTTAGGAATTCTAATGAATGAAATGTGCTCTTTGCTTACATTTCCTGCAGAATTATTAGCTGTCCTATTCTTACTCTTATATTTAACTTCTTTAAGGAAAGGAATTATATATAAGAAAGCTTTTTTTTCTATACTATTAAACTAATAAAGAACCTTGGGAATTAATATCTACTATACAAGTATCCTAACAGAATAATGTGATAGGCAATAAGGCTCCCTTTTGGTAGAATCCTGCAAAACCTAATCTGTGCTCAGCATTCAAGAAGGTTTTGAGTCCTAACAATTTCTTGATTACTGGCTTTCTAACCATGTCAATTCATTTCTTTGATTCATTCTTCTTAAGAAGAGATTCTTTTTTTTTTTTTTTTTTGTACCAGGAATCAAACTTGGGTCCTTGCGCTCGTGCAGCCGGTGGCAAAACCACTGAGCTAAATCCCCAGCCCAGAAGAGATTCTAATGCTTAACCCAACTTAAAAGAGTAGGGGTCTCATAAAATAATTATAAAACAAAATGTTATGGTTTAGATCTAAAATGTTCCCCCAAATTCTCATATGTGTAGAACATGGTAGGTCATGTGGGTGCTAGACTCATTAGTGGATTCATACATTGATGATTTCAGCAGCTCAATGTGCTGTAGGAAGTGAAGGCTGGTTGGAGGTGAATCACTGGGTATATTCTAGAAAGATGTATTATTGTCACCAGCTCCTCCCTTCTGTCTCTGTTTCCTGGATGCCATAAGTTGACTACCTTTTCCTTCACTGTGCCCCTCCACCATCCTGTTCCTGTCTTGGAGCCACCTGACCAAATATCAAAACCATGAGGCAAAATAAACCTGTCCTTCTTTAAGTTGTGAGTTATGGGTAGTTTGTCACAATGATGAAAAAGTAGCTAAACTACTTTGAGTAACCACCCATGCAGGGTTGCCCAGGACTGAAGGATTTCAGAGGGACTTGAGGGTTTCAAGTCAAACACTAGGAAATTCCAAGGCAAATTGGATAAATTGTTCACTTTCATTTTACTGACAAATTTGTTCTACACTTAATACTAACTACTATTTTGCTCCTTAACTTGCCAACCATAAGCACTTAACTTAGTTGCCTAGACTATTCAAGGGGCTATTTGACTAAGAAAGCAAATTTTTATCCATGAAGAATTTAGAACTTGGAAGCTGTAACTGGGTCTCAGTTGAGCTTGGCTCTGCTAAACTTACTCATTGTGTGAATCAGGCTGGAGCTCAGAGCAGACCACACTCCAACTTTCCAATTTGACCAACACCTGACCCTAGATTTTTTTGAAGCTGCCTTCTTTCCTGAGGTGGCTTAGCGGAAAAGTATGACACTGGCAAAGCTTTATTTATTTGAATATTGAAGCAAAAAAATGGTCTTTAGATACTACCATGTTTTTCCAGTACTTTTCTTTAGATGTCACATACTACAGAACTAATTCCCACAAATCCATTTGGTCATTAATCAGTTCACATTCTTTCCTTCTTTTCTACCCACCAAGAAAACTAGGAAATAAAATGACAGGTAGGCATTTTATCAAAATTCTTCGATCATTTGAAGGAAACAAAGTTCTTATTTACAAGCAAATGACAGATTTGGATACAAAGAGGCATTTCAGTTCAAAGGCCCAGTTTTAGGAGGTCCAGAGATTTTATAAATACACACCTTAGGTAATTTTAGTATCTGTCATTCTAAAGCCCTTTTTAAATTACTATGCATATAGAGAAGGATCACTTGGTACACCTCCTGGGATAGAACCCAGCAGCTATTTTGCAGCTACACAGCAATGCCACTCAAAGATTTAGGTGAAGAACTGGAGAAAAACATTATTTCTGGCTAAAGGTAAAGAGAAATGTATTGACCTACACTGAATCTTTGCCAAGCTACCAAGCCAGGGACATATTCTTTTTAGTGAAACTAATAATTATAAACTGGGGCTAATGTGATGCTTTCTCTGTAAAATACACAAGCATTTTCAGTCTCTAAGTAAAACTCTGTGGTAGTGAGTGTTGGTTCAGCTGAGCCCCAAACTCCTACAGTTCCTGAGAAGAACGTTTAAAATGTTTTAGTAGAAGTGGCAATAAGATTGAGGGCATTACCTTAAGGGTGGCCAGTGGGATGATTTATGATTTCTTTTTAATTTGACTTTTGTCCCATGAGGCAAGATGACAGACCCTAACATGTTTCCAGTAGTTGCTGCCCATCTTCAAATACCTCTTGGTAGTTTACAAGTCATACACATGAGATACAATGATGTCTATGTATGGGTACAATATATATATGTGAACTGAATCATTTTGGTGTATCAAATGAAATGTAGGACATTAAGTGATAGCTCACCTTTCAAAGTCACATCTTCCATGAACTCGTTGCTTGTACCCCTAGCAAAAGGACCTTTCTTTGCATAGGACATCATTATAGTCTCTGTCACCTTATATTCTCACTTTTTACACCCTCTAGAGTATGTGCTTTTTGCCAGCAGTGATTGTTTCAGCTTTGCTCTTGAACTTACTGATGCATTTCACAGCATTTGTTAAATGCATACTCTTATATGTGACCAACTCCAGTTGAAGGGTAGCCTTGCCCTACTCACTTGGCTTCTTCCAAGTTCTCAGTTCTCTGGATTGCATCTTGTTCATACTTCATTCTCAACTGCACCATTTCAGTGTTGCATGTAGATAGGGCTCGGTGTAGCTCAGTCTTGACTTCTTGTTCCTCCTCATACTGCTCTCATCAAAGGTCAAAGTCATGGTTGGCTGACTGCAGGGCATGGGCCAGGGCACTCCAAGACTGTAGCACACATACATTTAAAAAGACACCATCACCATTAACAATAGAGCACTTGATGTTGACATTTTTTCAGATAAAGTTAATAAAACTCTGCTAAAATTCAAGGTGAACCTAAACTTAATAAGATTATATCAAGAAAACAATCTGGGACAAGAAGATAAAGAATAGGGAATATCTAATTTGCCTTTAAAATGGGAAAGAGTTCTATTTAGGGAAATGCTAGTCTTGCTATCTGGGCTTTAGTAATAGACAATCATGGCCTTCTAGAAGTAGTGAAGAACACAAAGTTAGTAAGGAGAAAATTTACTATCATTTAGGCAATAAGATTTATATTTAGCCATATATAAATTCAGATTGTGTTTGAACCAGAAAAAAACAGATTTAGTCTAGCTTATTCATTTCATTGATGAAAAAAATAAAATTTTATATTTTTCATGTAAATCTCTAAGAAAACCTTCACTGTTAGCACCTTAAAGTATGCTACCCAATATAATTTTCTCTAATGATGAAAATGTTCTATGTGGATACTATCCAGTATGATAACTAATAGCCACATGTGGCCATCGAACACTTGAAATCACACTTCAGAAAATGGGTGGTAAAATTGAATCTTTTACTTAATTTTAATAAATATATATTTAAATTTAGATCATTACTTGTAGTATAGTAGTGGCTTCTATATTTATTGGATAGGACAGTTGAGTTTAATAAACATTTCTATCATTTAAATGGTGGTCTAACCAAGCACCATCATTCTCAGGAGAATGCAGTGGGAAAACCATGGCCTTAGCCAGTCCTCAAGGGTCTTTTTTGCAAATTAAAAAACAAGTTTCATCTTAGGCAGCTGCAGATCTGAGTGTTTGAGGCTTAGTGAATGGCAGCTTCAGCCAACATCCTTAGGTGGTGAATGAGTAGAATTAATAGACAGTGATGCTGACACAGACACAGGCTATGGAATCATATAAACTTGGGTTCATTTTTGCGATCTTTTCTCTTTTTTAATATGTGTGCATTGAGTACATGTTCTAGGCATTAGTGTTACAGAAGTAAAGGAAATAAATCAAAATTCCTGCTTTAAGGAGCCAAAAGGGAATAAGGAGGTATATAATCGAAACATGCAAACAAATTAATAAATACATTTTCTGGTAGCAGAAAAATAAAAACAGATTAGCCTGATGTACAATATTTGGTTTCTTATCATCACTCCCCAAAGATCTTCAAGAAGGGCATTTAAGCAATGGGAACAGCAGTTATAAAAGTTCTAAGGCAGTTATGAAAGTTTAAAGGCTTGTATAGGAAGGAGACAGGAAACCAGGGCCACTGTAAAGCAATAAACAAGGGAAGCAAATACGTGAGGTAAGGTCACAGGTGGCACCTCAAGCTACATTAAGGTGGGCTTGTACTCCAAATAGGAGCCACTGGAAAGGTATCCAGAGTGATCTTCTAAAATATAAATCAAGTTATTTACTGTCTGTGTGAATTCCTTCACAGTGTATCACATACTATGTGACCTCAGACAAGTTATTTGTCTTCTCAGAACCTTCGTTTTTTCTATGCACTTCATATGACTAATATGTAGAATAAGATAATGTAAGAGAAGTATCTAGTATAATTTCCAGTGTACAAACAATGGTATTAATTTAAAACTTAATGTAGAGTAGATTCCAAGATGACCAAATAGAAATGCCTTGCACTTGCCTCCTCCTCCACAAAAAATAATCAAAACAATAAATGAATGAGTGTATTTTGAGTTGAGTGGCTAAGGCAGTTTACTGGCACTTGGAAAGAAAAAAATGAGAATGTTGTAACACATAGAGACCTGGGATAGCAGCAGAGAGAGAGAAGCAACATGCATAGAAAGAGGAACTGTGACCAGAGGGCAAAGTCCCAGAAGATCTCATTTTTGCAGTCACTGATAATCCTACCTACAAGAGTGTTCCAGAGTTACCATAGGCTTAGAACCCAGTAAGGAGAGCAACCTGGAATAGGTGAGGAAGCTTTGTTTCAGAAACAAACTCATATTGTCTCTCTACTGTCCCCTAGAGACAGGCTACTAAGGTGCAGTGCCATCTTGAGAACAGAAACACTGTTGGAATTCACACTGCCATTTTCCATCCCTCAAGCCCTGTAGACATCCCACTACACTAACACAAAGGGGTACAGCTTCACAAACCCAAAAAGAACCAGACTGAAGCTCTGACGCAAACCCAGATGGTACAGGGCATTACAGAGGTGGTTGAGCATGGCTAAGAAGTGCCACCCCCAAGACTATAGATATCAGCCACTATAGATATCAGCTTGTGCACCATCACAGGGCCTGATGGCACATGATACATACTCTGTATCCCTGCTGCCACCGTGCCAGCCAAACACATTGATTATACCTACAGAAGCTATGGGAAGGTTATAATTCAGTCCCCATTTGAAACCAAAGCCAATATAGACTTCTCAATCAATACTTTAGACATCTCCAGGAGAAATACTTTTACTATAAAAACTATCTTGTAAAAGTGGTAGAGATAACCCAACTGTTAGATGTGGAAATATTAAGGTGGGAGCACAAGCAGTATGAAAATTCTAGGCAACATGGTACCTCCAAAAGAACACAAGAACTCTGGAGCAACAGACCACAAAGAAAAGGATATTGATGAAATGTCTGATAAAAAATCAAAAGTGATTCTAATGAAATTCAATGAGATATAATAGAATACAGACAATTCAATGAAAGTAAGAAAATAATCGATGCTACGATGTAGAAATTCAACAAAAATATAGGAATCCTGAAAAGGAATCAATCAGAAATCCTGAAGAACTCAATACATCAAATGAAAACTACAGTTTAGAGCTTTAACAACAGGCTAGATGGAACAGAAGAAAGACTTTCTGAATTTGCATACAGATCTTTCAAAGTATCCTAGGCAGATAATAATAAAAATAACAATGTGTGAATGTGCTGTAGGGCAAAGAGGTGCCCTCTTGTTCCACGTCAGCAGTCGAAACATGAGCAAGCCATGGTGGAGGCTCCTCAAAAAAATGAAAATGAAATTACATATAAACAACAATTTTACTACAGGGTACATATCCAAAGGGAATCCTATAATTTTTGCATCAAACAGATACCTGAACACTCATGTTTATTGCAGTACTATGAACAAAATAGGGAAATCAATCTATATATCCACTGGCAAATGAATGGATAAAAATGCCATGTGTATATACACAGTGGAATATTATCTAGTTATTAAAAGGATGAAACATTGTCATTTGCAGCAACATCAATGGAAGTAGAAGACATTGTATTAAGTAAAATAAGCCAGGGATAGAAAGACAAATATGACACATTGTCTCTCATTTGCAGAAGCCAAAAATGTTAATTACATAGAAGTAGAGAGTAGAATAAAAGTCATTAGAGGCTAGGAAAGGGAACAGAAACAGCATGAATAATGGGACCCAAAAGAGAGAGGTGGAACTAATGCTAATGTTATATACAATAGAGCAACTATAATCAATCACAGTTAATTATATGTTTCAAAATAACTGGAGAAGAATTTGAAGTTCCCCAACATGTAGAAATGGTAACAACATTTGAAGAAATGGAAATGCTACTTACACTGATTTGATCATTACATATTGTACAGCTGTATTGAATTATAATATTGTATCCCATATATATGTAAGAATATTATATGTCAATTTAAAATTTTTTATTAGTACATGTTTATAGTACTTAATGTTTACCTTCCTTGTGTGGAGTTGGTACACATACATAACCTTAATTCCTTTTTTCATCCTCTTCCCCTTTCCTTTCTTCCCTGTCCCTCTATCTCTTGATCCCCTTCTCATTTGAAAAAGCTCTGTCTCCCTACTTCCTATCATCTATCTTTTATTTTGCTCTTTATTTGTTATCTGGCTTTCTCATGGAAGCAAAACCATGTGATATTTAAGTTTGTGTGTCTGATTTATTTCTCTTAACATGATAATCTCAAGAGGCATCCATTTTCCTACAAATGACTCAAGTTTATCTTCTTTTATTGCAGAGTGGTACTCCATTGTGTATAAATACCACATTTTCTTTATCCATTCATCTGTTTATGGGCATATAGGCTAAACTGTCCTGTTATAAACATGGGTATGTATGTATGTATGTCTGTATGTAAAGTAGTATAACCACTATGGAAATCAATATGGAGTTCCTCAAAAAGCTAAAACTAGAAATTCGAATTGACCTAGTTATTCCCCTTCTAGATACCTACCCAAAAGAGTTAAAAGACATCATATTACAGTGATATATTTCAATTTTTTAAATTTAAGGTTTTAAAAAAGTAAAAATAATATAGAAAATAAGGAGAGTGGTAGGAATAAAATGGCACAGTATTTAAAAACAAAGACTCACCCCCCTTCAATGAGATAAGTTTTATTACTCTATCTTCAAAATATATAACTTTACAATGAAATCACATACAAGTGAGGTACTCTGGAGTCTTGTAACAAAGTACTTTGAATATGAACTAAGAATTAGTCTTAAATATTGAGGTTGAAAGAATTAATCTCTCATGTTAGTTACTAAACTTTCAGTGGGGTCACTCACTAACAAGATTATATAGTATATATATATATGATATTACATGATTTATAATATATATGTGACTAATTTCTATAATTTCTTGAGAAGTTAAAAGTTATATTGAGCTAAACCAGTCCTATTTATTTTATTCCATTCTTTTTATTTAATTTCACTCTTTTGTGAGCAGTTCAGATTCAAATACAGAGTCTTGCTGACCTGTTAAAGAAATGTAAATGTAAAATGGAGACACATACTTTGCTTGCTCTTCATCTGAAAAGCTATAGAAATGGTTTGAATCACTGAGGAGAATCCTTCAGATTCTCTTTCTGGCACATACAAAGTCTAAAGTAGGTTTTCCTCCACTACATCTAGGGCACTTCTTCTTCTTTTACAGGAGAAGAAACTGAAGCTGACTCGCCACACACTGTTTTTTATTGTTGTTTGTTTGTTTAACATGTAGTCAAGCTATTGATGAGAAATAATAGATGCCTTACTCTGGTCTCCTCTTCTAGCTGCCCCCTCAGTTCTTCAATTTTCAGAGTGAAGTGGCTCTTTCCCCTGGAAAGTGGTTTTGTCAGAGACTCTTTTTCTTCCAGCTTCTTTAGGAACTCACCTACAAAAAGATTTCACAAAGTAAATCATGGTTTTCTTAGCTATTTCCTCCCTGACATATCTTACTGGCTTTATGGGCATCTAGAATGACTCTTTCCCAAATATTTTTGATGTTTAGGAAATTATCTGGGACTCCTGTTATCAGTAGGACTCACAAGACAGCCCTAAAGGAACTGATTCTTAATAGTAAGTATGAGTAAATATCAGATAATATTAGTTACTATTTATTGAGAATCTTCCATGCTGTAGGCACTTTATGTATATTAGTTAAATTCTCATAATTCCTAAATATTGAGAGAATTATATTGCCCATTTTACAGAGGAAGAAACAACTTTGACTTACTTAAATGAAACTAAGACAGAAACATACATCTCTTATTAATTAGTAGAAGAAGCTGCAAACTAAGTTCTTATCCTGAAGAAAACATTTTTTTCTCCTATTCCATGCTCTCTTATTTATCATACTTGGCTTTACCAATTTCTAATAATATAATTTGTATGTAATTAAATTTTTGCCTCATTTATAAAATGATAACAAGGTAATAAAAATTAAGTGAGTATAAATGTTTGTTGCAGACTGAATTGCTAAATAAATATTAGTAATAATCATTAAATGGCAAGAAATGTGGCTGATGAGAGAGGAAAATTGTACAACACTCTAGACTATCTCCCTGCTTAAGTTATTTGAGTAATTATCGCACAGATATGGTATGGTTAGTAGAAATGGTACTAAAGACTGGGCCAAATCTAGACAAAAGTAGTTGTTTCTATTAGTACAAGCAGTCCAACACTAAAAAACCCAAATATTCTGTGAAGCCCTGGGTCCAATCCTCAGTATTAAAATAAAAATCCCAATATATCTATGATCCACAATCTTCTGCCTATAAACTAGTTATAGAGCTCTCATCATTATAAGGAAGAATCTGTTTGAGTATAAGCAGCAGTTCCCAAACTTTTTGGTCTCAGGAACACATATTCTGCTTAAAGTAATTATTGAAAACTCTAAAGAAATTTTGTTCATGTGGTTTTTATGTTAATAGTGTCCATAAAGTTAGAGCAGAGAAGTTTAAATATGTATTAATCTACTTTAAAATAATAATTAAAATGGCATACAGCATTAATATTTAATATATACGATGTTTAGGGAGGAAATCGGTACTTTTTTAAAACAAAAAGGTGAAAAGAATAATATAGTTCTACATATCATATTGAATATCCTAATGAATCTCTGGATTAAAAAAGACAGCTAGAATCTCCTATGTGCTTTTGAATTCAATCTATTATAGTATATAACTTTAATTAAAGTATATGGTGAAAATCCAGCCTCTCACAGATACATGGTTGGAAAAGTGTGGTGGTATATTTAATAGTTTTTTTTAGATATTATTGGCCATCATTTGATAAGGCACCAAAACTCAACAAATAAAAGTCTCTTAAGACTTAGTAATAATATGTAATCAAACCATATGAATGAAGATTTTATTCATTTATATTAATTACAATTTGTTGATGGATCTTAAACTGAATCAATCTTTAGTCACATTATTTTGTCACATCATGCAAGGGTTACTCGAAAATATATATTCATTTAATTATGCAATTCTTCCAAATGTTGATATATTTCTTTATACACTGTAGAAGAGGAAAAAAGAAAGCATTTTTCTCTCTACACTATTAGACACTCAACATTTGTGATACCAGGTGTGTTCTCCCTACACATCAAGGAAATTTCCACTACAATTTAACTCAATTATTACACTGTTTACCTGGAGATAGGATCAGATTCAGGAGTTGAGAATTCAGTTCTATAAGACCTCCCCCCCACTCCAGATGCCAATCACAAGTCCAGATTGTCACCAATACGTCTGGTCCACTCAGTTAAGTTCTACAGCAGCCTCACACATGCAGAGAAACTTATTTATACTTACTTGTTTAATGCAAAAGATACAAGTGACTAACCAGATGGAAGAGACGCACAGGACCAGGTATGGGAGAAGGGGTGGAGAGGTTCCATACATGGCCTCTCTAGACTGCCACTGTCCACGACCCACAATGTGCTTAGCAATGAAAATCTGAAGTCCGGTTTTTGGGAAGCTTCATTCTTTGGCAGATTGATTAAATCAGTGGCCACTGATGATCAACTTAAACTTTAGCCCTTCTTTCCTCCCAAAAGGTCAGGGATTAGGCTGAAAGTACCAACATTCTAATAGTGGCTTAGTCTTTCTGAAGACCAGCCTTCATCCTGAGGCTGTAATAGCTACCAGTCATCTCATAAATGTACAAAAGATTTTCATTACTCCAGAGATTGCAAGAGTTTTAGGAGCAATGTAGCAGGAACCCAGGAAAGGTGAATATGTATATATATATATATATTTATTTTATTTGTGTATACATATATATGTATACACAAATATAATAAATCAAAATATCGTATACAATAAAATACATGTTAATATCACCAATGATCTCATCAGAATAGTCTTTAAGAATTGAAACTCCTGACATTCATGTTGGTATATACATGTTTTCCAAAACCCAAGTTTTGCCTAAATTCTCTTATTTTATGGGCAACACATGTCAATTATTTTCCTTGAAGTGACAGGCTTACTTTGTTCATATGTATAAGTGTGAATAAGCATAGTTTGTTTGTCAATCATTCTTTCAAGTTAAAGTAGTTACCCCTTGAAAAAGTTACCAATGTAGCTTGGAACTTAGACAATCCAACATTTTGCTTCACTCTAAAACAGAAAAATTTTATGCATATTTCTTATGCTGTCACACAGAGTATTAAAAAGTTACATATGCATTTAGAATTGAGATGTAAGAAATTAATTTTTCTGCTTTGTTAAGGAGCTTCTTAAGTAAAACTGACTTTAAACAGTTTAAAAACTGTGAGTTTATATTAGTGAATACAATAATTACTAGTACAGTGCAGAGCTGGCTAGATTTGTGATAAGGCTCCAGAAATTTTAACTGTCAGTGCTTTTGCACTATCAACACAAATCAGAGAAGAATTTAAAAGTAAATACCATATAAATATTATAATGAAATAGCTTAAACCTCATAGGCCCCCTTAAGGATCTTGAGGATCACTGGGGGTCTGTGGACCAAACTTTATAAATCTCTGGGTAAAACATCCTATTTAAAGAGATTCTAAATCATTCACATTCACATTTTTGTGAGAACCAAAGCTTTCATTCTTCTGCGATAAATGGCTAGGAGAGCAATTGCTGGGTCATATTGCAAGTTTGCAAACTATGTTCCAGCATGACTGCGCCATTTACATCGTGACAGGCAATGCATGAGTGATCTAGTTCCTCCACATTGTCACCAGCATTTGATGTGTTACCATATTTTTTATTTTACTCATTATGGTAGGTATATAGTGATAACTTATTGTGGTTTTAATTTGCACTTCCTTGATGGCGGGTGATACTGAACATCTTGTAATGTGTATATTTACCATTTGTATGTACTTTTGAGGGAACTGTCTCTTTATGTCTTCTGTTTGTTATCTGGATTGTTTGCTTTTATACTGTTGAGTTTTGAGAATTCTTTCTAAGTTTTGCACACTGGCCTATTGATATGTAGTTTGCAAATACAGTAGTTTCTTCAAAAAAGAAAAAAGAGATTCTAAAAAATGCAAATCCATTAGGTGGTTGAGACTAACAAAACAGTTGTGTCACAGGGCCAGAACCCACTTACACAACTTACTCATGTGTCTTGGTCTCCTCTGGAAGCAGAGTATGAGCAGCTCTCAGGACAGGGCATAAGAAAGAATCCTTGGCAGTAGTAGAAGAAAAGCAGCCAAAAAACCTTGGGCATGGACCCATTGAGGCAAAGAAGCTTGGATAAGTATATACTTTGATTTAATTTACACAAAAGCAAAAAGGCAAAAATGAGAATTAAAGAAAGGAAGAAAAAGATCCTGTATTCTAAGCAGAATTATTAGATCATAGCGACTTCATTTCACTCACTTACCCATCAATTTTCTTACCAAAATAATGGTAGCAAGTTAATCAATAATGATAGAGAAGAATCCAATGCCTATTAAAACAAGAACAGAACTTCCTTCAGAGCCAAACATCCATATAGTCTTTGGCTTTGTTTCTAGATTGTGGAGGCCACACACTGACATCCTCAATGGCACAGAAGATAAAACTGGAAGATTTGAAACAAGGCCAAGTGTTGCATACCCTGTTAGCAATATAAGAGTCCTATTTGATGCCCTCTCTAGAACCTAAAATATATTCACTTTTCTAGATTTCTAGTTTTTTTATTTTCTGATTTTATTTTAGCTTTTATGCTTGTTAACAGAAGAAATCTGAGATTCCCAAATTTAGTTATAGATGGGAGGTTGGAAGATAAAAAAGAATAAATTCATTTTAAATATAGCTTTGAGCTAAACCAACAAAGGAAAAAATAAAACTGCATCACATTCCTTTTCTGTACATTAAAGATTAGTCATTAAGAAAACAGCATTTAGTTTGTAGAAACAACCAATCAAACAACGGAATGTCTTATCTATTTCCAATGTAAGAAGTAGTAGTTCAGTATAAGTGACTTTCCATTATTAAATACCCTAACTTCTCAGATCTGTTGGATATTTTTCCAACTGTTATCTGGTTGTTCTCCTGGATGCTTATAGGAATTTGTGTCAAGACTATTCTTTTATTTTTGTCTAGCATCTCAATCATTTCAGTAAAACCCTTTCATTTCAGAGACTTCTCAGTCTATAAAACTTTGTTTTAACATACTAGACTTAGTGTCTAGAAAAAGAAGTGTCCACTTAGACTAGGATGTTATATAGCCTGAAAGATCCTCATTCTCTATTTAAAAAATGTATGCCTCTGGGCATTAAAAACACATTGTGTATTTTCATTGACTTAGGAATTCTGTGCTGGAAATACATTACTAAAAATAATTTTAATTATAGATAAATATCTATGCACATTCTATTCAAAGGGAAAAAAACAAGTTACAAGATAAGGTTAAGTAAAC